TGGTGTGCTTGCAATGCATGGATAACATGGGATACATGCACAATGCAGCAGTACTCTGCCATAAAGAAGGACAAACTTGAGTCATCTGTAGGACACTGGGTGCACGAGAGACCACAGTGGCAGAAAGTTCTTTTCCTTCTAAAGCAATGGGCATCTTACCAGCTGTGAGAAGACAGGCAGCTCAGTGTGGTGCAGTGGCACGTGCCTGTGACCTCGCACTCTGAGACTGAGGAAGGAGGGCCTCAAATTTGAGGCCAGCCTTGGTACCTTAGTGAGATTCTGTCTCAAAGAATAAACTAAGGAGGAGCTGAGGATACAGTTCAGTTCAATCCTCAGTACTCTGAAAGAATGTGTGTATGTGTGTGTGTGTGAGAGAGAGAGAGAGAGAGACAGAGAGACAGAGATAGACAGAGACAGAGAGACAGAGACAAAGACAGGCAGAGAAAAAGAAAGAAGGAAGGAAAGAAGGGAGGGAGTGGAGAAAGAAAGAAAGAAAGAAAGAAAGAAAGAAAGAAAGAAAGAAAGAAAGAAAGAGAAAGCCAGCCAGCCAGCTAGCTTAGTGGACTAAGTGCCTGCTTCGGCAAGAGCAAGGACCCAGGTTCAATCCCCAGCCCTACATCCCACGCTGGCCCTCACACTGGGCACACTCAGCCTGCCACCAAGACCCAGAGTGGTGGCGCATGCCTGTAACTCAGCAATGGGGAGGCTGAAAACAGGAGGGTCACTATGAGTCCAAGCTGCGTACTGAGACCCTGTACCAAATACACAAAACTAAAAAACTAAACAAAAAAGAAAGGAAGAGAGAGAGAATTGACTGCAATCAATAAAGCGGGGTGCACACCCCACAAGAGGCATGTCACCAAGGTCAACTCGGAACTCATGAGGCGAGGCAGGCAGCCCGCTGGGCAATGAGTCAGGCAGACCTGAAAGCATTAGACCAAAACTTAGAAAACTTTCCAAAACAGCTCCAAAGCTAACAGTGCATGCCGAGAACTGGGCTGGAAAAGTTTAGGGGGAGGAGGAGGGCAGGGAAGAACAAGATATGCACGGACTCCCGTGCTTATCATGCGACAAAAATCACAAGAAAACAAATCAGCCTGGCAGGGGTAGGGGTGGGGCACGAGTCCGGGGTCCAAAGTTTCTTCCAAGCCCAGTGAGTCACTAGGTGAGGCAGGAAGGGACGAATAAGCAAATACAGGAATCCGAGAGAGACGCCCTCTGACCGGGCACTGCACCCTGGCCATCTCGAGGGGTGGGGAGTGAGCGAACACGACGGAAAGCTCCAGAAACTCAGCGAGCGCTCTCCCTAGACACCGAAGGGAAAAATGAAAATGAGAAGTGAAACAGGAACTGAATCCTGATCAAAGGTGAAGAAGTCAGTTGCATAAAAAGCTCATACAGGCAAGAGGAACAGAACCACACCTCCCAATGGTACTGGGGTAAGGATACACACACATACACATGCACACGCATGCACACACACGCATGTGCACGCACACCTACACAACACGCTTGCACACACTCACACGCACACTGTTGTTCTGTCCCACAAGACGGTGGTCCGTAGGCACAGGCAGCCCTCCGAGAGGCGAGGGAGTAGGCAGGGCATATGTGACTGCAGTGAGTGATTCAGAAGGGTAAAGGCGCTCTGAAGGGCGCAGCCTACCAGTGGGAGGCAAGTATGCCTATCCAGCGGCAAAAAAGAAACAGTTACCTGCTACCAGGTGGTACAGTCAATTCTTTAAAATACGATAAATACGTAGTAGTCCCCAAAAATAAATGGAAGGTTTCAGAAATAAACAGCACATAAGCTTTAAATAACTTGTACTATAATATACCGCTATAATTGTTTGACTCTACTATTAACCATAGTGTCTAACCTCTTCCCGTGCTCCTCAGACACACTGAACACCATCGTAGGTATGCACGTGGGAAAAACACACAGCACCGCTAGGGCTTGCGAGTACGACCACGCCAGCCACCACTCGGGGTGCTGGGATAGATCCCTCAAGGAGAAAGGGGAACTGCTGTCCAACGATCGTATAAATTATATAATAATGACATAAAGTTGCCGTTACTTTTTTCTTCATCCAAGCAATGCTAGACCATAAAGGACAACGCAGAAAAAAGCAAAAAGGAAAAAAAAAAAAAAAAAAAAACACAGATGCCTCTGTAAAGATTCTTAAGACAGCAACCTCCACCTCATCCTGCCCCTTAACTTTCCCCACCTCTCCGGTGGATGCAGGGTGAGGAGCCCCCACCAGTGACCTTCGGGTCCCAGGGACAGAGGCAGGAGCCGGGGGAGGCAGCTGGGAGAAGCTGGGAGAAGCTAGCAGCAGGGTCAAAGCCGGTGTCAACAGGGTGAGCAGTTATATCCCGGTCTCCCCAGCCCCGGGAGGCCCCAGGATGTGACATTCTATTGTGCACACCCAGAAAGCTCCGGGCTGATGGAGCAGGCTGGTCAGAGTGGCAGGACGACCATGGGGTCTGCAAGGAAAGCAGCTCTTGCAGCCCGCGCACACCCGCACGCAATTCGCAGCCAACAGGACAGCTAGCTGCTCCTCCTGGGAAAGTGGCCCACGTCCCTCATGACCACTCCACCCCAGCTCCGAGGCTGACCACGGCCACCTGAAGCAGAGGACCCGCTGGTTCCAGAAGTGCACAAATCTCAGCTCCAAATTAGCCAGCCCCACGCGGAAGTCAAGGCCCCCATGAGACACCCGTGCCCCATGAGGGTGGCAGAACCCAAAAGGTGAACAACACCAAGCATTGGTGAGGACACCGGCAAAGTGGAACACCACTCGCCACAGGGAGGAAAGTGAAATAGTGGAGCTGATTCAGAAAAAAGTTGGGCATCTCCTAAAAAATGAAATATAGGGATACAGCAATACCCCAACAGCTATCTCCCCACACACCCCAGCAATTCCATTCCTCAGTATGTCCCCAAGGGAACAAAAATCATACCTAAACACAAAGCTGCACACAGGAATGCTCACAGCTCAGAAGGGAAAGAATACCAACGCCCTTTAACAAAAGAGTTAACAAACTATGGTCCATGAATATAGTGGAATATTATTCAGACATAAAAAAGGAATGAAGCACTACCACACACTACAACATGGATGAACCTCAAGGAGGCCGTACTCTGTAAAAGATGCCCCGCACAAGAGATTACACATTGTAGGATTCATGTATACAAGACAGCCAGAACAAGAAATTCCATGATGACAGAGACCAGATTACAGGTTGCTGGGGTTGGAGGAGAGACCAGAGAGACTAGAAAAGAGGCATTTCTTTTTGGAGTGATGAAGTATTCTGAATGGACTGTGGTAATGGTCACTCAACTAAACTGAACATTTTATTCTTTTTTTTTTTTTTTTTTCCCGGTACCAGGGATTGAACTCAGGACCCTGTATCTGCCAGGCAAGCGTTTATTCTACTGAGCTATCTCCCCGTCCCCTAAACTGAATATTTTAAATGGGTATATTTTATAGCATGTAAATTAAACCTCCGGGATATTTTTTAAAATTCCTGGACCCAACCCAACCAGCACACAGTGCTCCTCTACTACGAGATTGGTCAGTGAGTGTCACATGACCTCGGCCTGCCTGAGAATGGGGCCACAGATTCCCTCTACATCTCGGTGTGGCATTGAGTGGTGATGAGTTCTGGCTCCATTGCAAACCCAGGACAGCCTGGGGTTGCCGAGCTCTGCAAAGAGCATTAAGATGCAATCCTGAGTACGCGCGGTAAGTACAGTGGCACCTCATTTCACAAGTTTAATTCTTTCCGCGATTCGGGTCACAAGCTGAACTGGATGAGACCCGAATCAGATTTCCCCATAAGGTCAACAATGAACCTAACCCTAACCAATGACTCTGTAATGGTAAATATCAACGGTGGCGCATGCTGTAATCCCAGGACTCTGGAGGCTGAGGCAACAGAATCACAGGATCGAGGCCAATTGGGGATATACAGTGAGTTCAAAGCCAACCTGAGCTACTTCCTGAGACTCTGTCTCAAAAAAAAAAAAAAAAAAACCAAGAACAACAAAACTTGTGAAATTACATCCTATGTAACAATTACACAATGGAATTCCAGAGGCTATGCAGAGACATAAGAAAAAAAAAAAAAAAACAAAAACAAAAAACTCATGAATATGGTTTAAATGCCCAAGCAAGTTTATGCAAAAACTAGACTGTCTGAGGTCTATGCAACTGCAATGCCAAACGTGTTCACTATCTGGCCATTTACAGGAAAATTAAGCTTCTGGCCCTGGGATCTGAACATCATCTTTCAGTTGGTATACAGACTATTCTTATAGGCCTTAAGTGGTTACTTAAACTCTAGAAATCTTAATACCCAGCTCACCAGGAGACTGAGGATTTATAGGTGCTTTGCTAATTTTAAGAGGCATACTATGTTCACTTGGACATTTCTGAAAGAGTCAGAATCCATCTTGCAATTAGCATTGGCTGCACCATCTTCTTCCTTAATGGTCCGTACAAATCATGCAGATTCCTGTAACACCTTAGATGTGAAAAAGTATAAGTGAGATTCAGAGTCTTCGCACTTAGCTTAGCTGCTATGCGGGTGGCTCACACTGGTTTCTACCACTCACATATCCTGCATTCTTCCATCAGCTCATTTGGTGTCTGATGCCGTAGGGAGACACCCAGCAAAAGCCTGGCTGAGGGTTTAAGGTGATTCATTTCCAGACTCCAACAAGTCTCTAAAACGAGCTGAGTCTCTTTTGGTCAGATCAAAAGTGACACCAACCCAGTTAGCCATCACCTAACTGGGAGGATGGGGATCCAAAGCAGCGGGAAGCGTTTAGGAAAGAAAGCTTTGTGGGCTGAGGTTTCCCACACAGCTCCTGAAGGCCGTTCCCCAAGGCTCTGGGTCCCGAGGACACAACATCCTTTGGGGGCCGCGTGCAAAGCAGGAGGAGGTCGCAAGCGCAACCTCGGAGGCTCACGAGCAGGAGTCGAGGCCCTTACCTCTTCCGCATACCGACGATAGCTCACTTCATACAGCACAATGAGGCCATTGGGTTCCTTTGGTTCTTGCCACATCAAGTGAACAACGTTGTTGTCGAAGATTTCGTGGGTCACGGGGCCCACGATGTCATCCGCCTTGGCTGTAAGGAGCAGCCATCAGAGGCTGGGCGTGGCTTCCACATCAAATCCCACCTCCCGCTGCTACGTAATTTGCCCTGTCCCATTTGCTGCGTGGGGGATGGGCAGATAAGAGTCCCCTCTAGGCTGCTTGGGAAAAAGCAGTGAGCCGTTTGTCTCTGGTACCTTTCTGTCATTGCCATTTCAGACTCGATACACACTGCAAAAGATACCCAGACTCCCCACGGACCCTGTCCTATCGTCCGTCCCCAGACAGCACACACCACATAACTGAGTACAGTCATCTCTGGGTGATCACAGGTAAGGGTCTAGCACCCCCTCAAACAGCAAGATCTGCAGATGCACAGCCCCCGACCCATGTCTCTATGGTACAGGGTCTCGCTACGCAGCTCGGACTCATAGTGATCCTCCTGTCTCAGCCTCCCCAGCGCCGGGATTACAGGTGTGCACCACCACGCCCAGTTCTGGTAGCCCACAAGGCTCTGGGCCAGCACAGCATTTGGCACCAAGGATTGAACCCGGGTCCTTGCGCTTCCCAGGCAGGTGCTTAGACCTCTGAGCTATCTCCCCAGCCCCAAATTTTACCTTTCATCACGAATGCTAACTTTATGTGTCAAATGGGCTGAGCTGAGGTCCCAGTCGCTGGGTCACAGTTTATTCTACATGTTTCTGTGAAGCTGCTTTCTCTCTGGATGAGCCTCATATTTAAGGTGGTGGGTTCGGTACAACTGAGGTCCAGCCAGACATAATATGTGTGGGCTTTGTCCAATCAGTTGAGAAAAAAGTTCAAGTCTCTGCCTGTCTCTCTTCCCCCACCCTTCCTCCCTCAGTTTTTTATGCTGCCTACCTTCTTTCTCCTCCCTCCCTCCCTCCCTCCCTCTCTCTCTCTCACCCCCCACCCATCCCTTTTTCTTCTCTGCTCTTTCTCCAAGTAAATCACATCCATGGACGCGGATGCACATATACACACACAGGCACCCTCCTCCCTCTGCAGCACCCTAATACACTACAGAGACATAGTTCTTAATCTTGCTAATTTTTCTCATTATTTATGCTTTTTTTCCTAAAATTCCTATGACATCTTATTAAAAATCACCACGCTGGGTATGGGGGCACACTCCCACTTCCCTGGTGGCTGCGGCAGGAGGATCGCTAGAGACCCTGCAGTTGCATCCCGGCTTGTGCTTGGCCAGTTGGGCCCCCCCCCCCCCACCCCGTAGGTGCCCAGCCCAGGCGGCGGCACACCTTCAGGCATGGTCCGGGCACTGACGTAGGCGGCAACGCTGCACCTCTCCTCCGGAGCATCCTGGTTGCAGGCCTGCAGCTCAATGCGATAGCCGGTGAAGTGTCGCAGGCCCGAGATGACCAGCGACTCCTTGTTCACCACCTTCTCGAAGGGCCTGGTCTCGTTCTGGCTGGCAGGCACACTAGGGGAGGAGTTGCTTGGGAAGCTTGGCGCAGTGGGCACCACCATGGTTGCATTCGCCACCTCACCGAGGGACCTGCGTTTCCGAGAGGGCCTGCAAGGAAAGGAGGACATGCGTGGTCACGCCCTCGCTGCCCTAAGGTGGAAGGCTGCCCGGGAGGGACAGGGACGCACACAGAGGCGGATTAAAGTGCAGATCGCCCAAACCCCCACCGAGGGTGGCTCCCTCGATGCCCTGGGAGGTGCCTGGGAAGAAGACAGACCGCCCTGCTGGGCTGGGGGTTCGGGGATCGCCGCCCACAGCCACGCTCCCACTCGCCCCTCCACATGCTTGATTTCAGATTTTCAGTAGGCCAGAGTCAGTGTTAAAAAATAAGACGCCCAAAGCAAGCAGAAGTCCAGCTTGCTGGAAAGCCTGCCAAGGAGTACTCGCCCACCACCCAAGCCGTGGACCTGCAGCGCCACTGAATGGAACAGAAAGCACTCTTCTCCTTAGGGCTCTGGGGAGCTCCAGTACTTGAGGGACTGAGCCTAATCCCTGGTAAACAAATCTCATGGCTGGGACAAGTACAGGCAACTCCAAGCAGCATCTGCCAATTCTCCCCACCCCTTAAAGAGAGATGTTACACAATAAAGATTGACAGCCACTGCACTTAAAAATACAAAAAAAAAAAAAGTATGAGGAAGGAAATGAAAATTAAAATTCCTCATAACTCCATCGACCACTGCTGGCTTCGGGTAATTATTTTTTTTCTAGAAATAGTGTACATAAGCATGACAAGGTTCAAGCCAATTTTATGACCCACTTGGTATATGGGAAGTGTTAATATTTCCTTTTTTTTTTTTTTTTTTTTTGGTACTGGGGATAGAACCCAAAGCCTCTGCGCTGAGCTACATCCCCGACCCTTGTTATTTATTTTAAGACAAGGTCTTCACGTTGCCAAGTTACCTGGGCTAGACTCACATTGGAGACCTTCCTGCCTCAGCCTCCCAGAGTGCAGGGATGTCAGTGTGTCCTCCAATCCCCATTCTTTAACTTTTTTCCACAAACATCTACTGCCTTCCTTATTGCTAGTCCTCCACTGTTTATTCCCAGCCAGTCAAACCTAAAGTTTTTTTTTTTTTTTTTTTTTTTTTTTTTTTTTGAGACAGGTCTCACTTCACAGTTCAGGCTGGCTTTTGTGCTCACTTTGTAGCCCAGGCTGCTCTCAAACTTGAAACCATCCTCCTGCCTGAGCCTCCTGAGTGCTGGGGAAGACAGGCATGTGCCACCACGCCCAGTTTCTAAAGTCCTTTAGGCAGCTGGCTCTAAAGTCGTATCTACAGTATAAAGATATGCAGAATATCTATTACACTGTGTAATTGACCCCTATTCTTCAGGTCACCTTCCTTTAAATAAATCAAAACCCAGTGCTTCATATACATTTGTAAAACTTCACCCCTCAGTAATAATCTACTCTTTCCTTCTGCGGGTAGCTCTGGATGTGTTACCGTGAAGGCTGCAGGAACGGGATGCTTCTCCCTGTCTTACTGTCCAGCTGCTGCCGGCGTGTCCTGCTGACTCTAGATGTATTTATAGTGCGTCTGCCTGGCCAAGTGTCCTCTGCCTCTAGAGCTTCTGTGGCGGATCCCCTCTCAGAACAGGCGGGAAGGGAGGTGCGGACGCCCTACCTGTGCGCAGCTACACAGCAGCCCATGGGTAAACCCACCGCTGCGGCGCTGCTGTCACCGCTCAAACACAGCTCCAAAGGATGAGCGGCCAGTGGGGGCTGCTGCGTTCCAACAGAAGTCCGTTTACAAAAGCAGGCAGCCTAAGACCGAGAGCCACGAGTCATGCGCCCTTGTGACAGCAGTGATTTCATTTCTCCTCTTTGGTTTGTTCTACAGTGCGGGGGATGGGCTCCAGGACTTCACATGTGCTAAGCAAGCACACCACCACCCTGCCGTCCTGGGCTCTCAGGCCCAGCTCCTTACAATTCTATTTCGCTTCTTGTCTTAGGTATTGGTCAGATGTTGGCAGAAATGGTAATGATACTAGAATTCCTTTTTTTTTTTTTTTTTTTTGGTCTTTTTGAGACAGTTTCTCACTATGCAGTCCAGGTTGTCTTGAGCTCACTGTGTAGCCTTGAACTCGCAGCAATCCTGCTGTCTCAGCCTCCTGCCTTTCCTTTTTCCTGTCCAACTCCAATAAAGATTGGTTCCAGAATGATGTGTGGTAGGGCCTGCGAGACAGCTCAGTGGACTAAATGCAGGAACCAGGGTCTAATCCCTGGTCCTGCATGCTGCATCCCGGGGCACACGAGCCCGCCACCAAGTCTGGGCATGGTCATACTGGGCATCATCATACACGCCTATAATCCCAGCACTGGGGAGGCTAAGAATAGGAGGATTACCACAAGTCCGAGCTGCATAGTGAGACCCTATGCCAGATACATAAAATGAAAAGAAAAAAAAAAAAAAAAAGACGTGTGGCTATTAGATGAAATTCATCTTGTTGAAGAACTATTCTGATCCTAGTCTAACAAGAGGACTCTTTGTCTCCTCCCTTCGTCTAAGAATTTTAAATTGCTATTGAATAACACATGACTCTGATAAAATAGATTGCTGTCACATCTTAAGCCATCCTGAGTTTCTGAGAGAAGCCACAGTGCTGCTTTCCTGTTTTATCTGGGACTTGCCACTCGAAAGGCACAAACCAGCATGGCCGATGCCCTGTTTTTAGTGTAAGATCTTCATTTCATTTTACTGCTTGAAATGTTATTCTAGTTTTATAAAGTGAATCGGGCTGGCTCTGATAGCTTTCTGGGCACTGGAGAGGCTTCCGCAGCACAGGCACTAGCTGCTCGTTCGGAGCTTGAGAGAATTCACCCACGAAGTTCTCGGACCTGAGGCCTTGTCAGGAAGCGAGCCTATGCACATCTTAGTGTGCTCCCAGCTTGCTGACCTGCATTCCACTGCACCTTCTCGGATCAGACATGCAAGAAGTGCCTTGAAACTGAAAGTTTCGAAACACTAAAATGTTCTTCAGATCCCTGTCACCTACTTTGCTTTTGTACTTTTCCCCTTTGATAATATTTGCCATCGGCTGAGTTAAGAGTGTTTTTTCTTCCTAATACACTTGCATTTTTCATTTTATTGAATTACGTACTTCAGAGGGAGGTGCTGGGAGGCGGATCCCAGAACCCTCTGCAGGCTAAGCAAGCGTCCTACCATTGAGCCGGGCTCACAGCCCAAGTTGTATATTTTTACACTGTCATAAATTTATTTTCTTCATGAATCCATTAAAGCCTAGTAATTTGCATTAAAGCTACGCGTTGGCAATATTCAACAAGTTAAGGTCTATGACACTCACACTTTTATTGCTTTCCAAAAAGACCTCAGCGGAAGTTTCAATTTCTGCTTTGCCTCAATAGATACTGCAGTGGTTAGCTTCATTTTCCGTTCAAACGTTCGAAGTTAACTATTAGCTTTCATTGCTTCCCAGGCAGGCAACTAATCCTGCTAGGGAGGAGACTCAGTAGGATTTTCTCCGTGGTGTTTTCATATTAAAAAACCAAAACACTCTTGGATGAAGGACAGAAGGTGGCTCTGTGTGTCCAGACTGAGACATTCGCGTCCCAGCAGGATTCTAAGCATCTCAGCACAGATATAAATGGGCCCAGCAGAAACAACTGCTCTGCCTGCGGCTCACAAAAAGCCACTGAGAACTTGTACTTGAACCCTCGGGACACACAACGACCTCACCAGCCAGGCTAAACTGGCATCTGCCTCATTTGGTTCTACTCCGCCTTACTGCATTTTCCACCATTGAAGATTTGTAGCGTCCCTGCTCTGAGCGCTTATAGCATCATTTTCCTAACAGTTCAGATGAACACTGGCATTATTTAGCAATAAAGAATTATTTTTCTTTTTTCATTTGTGTATTTGGTACAGGGTCTCACTACACAGCTGGGACTCGAAGTGATCCTCCTGTTTTCAGCCCCTGCAGCAGTGGGATTACAGGCGAGCGCCACCACGCCTGGACTCTGGCTCTGGCTCAGTGCACCCTGGCAACAGGGTCGGCGCGGCATGGGGACTGGGGATCGAATTCTGGTCCCTGAGCTTGCCAAAGCAGGGGCTTAGTCCGCTGAGCTATCTCGCCGGCCCTAATAACGAATTCTTAGATTAAGCACCTATTTAGCTAAAGCCCTTATTGAAGACATAATGCTACTGCACACTGAATAGAGAGTAGGGTCAGCATAACTTTTATGTGTGGTGGGAAACAATGAACTTTGCGGGGCGGGCTTGACACCCCAAGTGGACCACAGTGTGGTTCTGAAAGACCCCGTGACTTGCAACGGTGTCCTCCACCCCCACCTCCCAGAATCGGCATCTGATTCCCCAACACCTCACTCCAAACAGTGTGCACCTGCCCCTACCCCCAGGGGACACCTGACAATAGCTGGAGATGCTTTTGGTTGGCCCTACTGGGGGCAGGGAGTAGGGAGGTCGCAGGCCTCGTACAGTGTGGAAGCCAGGGGTGCTCAATATCCTAGAAGGCCCCAGAGAACGACCTCGCCCCAAGTATCAGCAAAGACGAGATTGACATCCTGTTTGAGCACAAGACCAAAAAAATTATGGGCCTTTCCGGACTTTAGGTTATATCGCTCATGGCCACTAGAGGGCAGACCAAGCCACACAAGTGCCTGAAATCCATCATCAAATAAGAATTCCGCGCTGCAAGAAAACCCTTCACCGCGGCCCCAACCAGTCTTTCCGGTCTTGCTCCCTGCCCCTACCAAGGTCTCAGGGTATTCGCGTTTCTCTAAGGGCCAGTGATGTTGAGCATCGTGTCACCTTGGCCATGTGCACTTCGGGGGAAGGGGGACGTCCATTCCTTTCAGCTGCCCACGTTTTGGTTGCGTCTTTTATTTGGGGGGATCTTGAATTGTTTTCGAGTTTGTTGGTACGTGATAGGTATTATCCCTCTGTCCACGGGATGAGGGAAAAAGCGCCTCCCCGCCATCCGAAGGTGGTCTCTTCACTCCGTTGGTTCTGTCCTTTGCTGGGCAGCAGCTGTTTAACTTGGTAGGAGGCTATTTGTTGGTTTCTTGGGGCTACTGCTCACACCCGTGGGGCTCTGCTCAGAAGGTCCCTGCATATACGGGTGTCCTCAGGAGGGTTCCCGTCTATCTCCCAGCGGATTTACTTAGGCCTCTGCTCCATCTTGAGTTTCGCCCCTTCCTTCTGCCTTCCCCTCAAACTCCCCTATCTTGGTCTCTCCTCTGGAGCCCAACCTCCTTGGTGAAGACAAAGCTGGCAGGGAAACACCCCAGGTGTCCTCCGCGGAATGCAGAGACACAGGCCCTTCCGCCCCTGTTGCCCCTGCCTCATCTTAGCATACCGGCTAGACCCCGAGGGGAGCGCTTGCTAGGAAGGGCGAGTCCGCACATCATAAAGATGTCCTGCTCCTGCATCTGTCTCCTCAGATCCTACAGGAGGGGCCGCTGCGCCCACCCGCACAGACACCGTAGCCGCGGGCAACATCCAGAAGAAAATGCGTGGGGGAAACTGAGGCACGGGCGCAGGCCCCAGAAAGCACGCCCGAGAGTCTATGTCTTAGGAAGAGTGTGTTAGTTCAATTTTTTCCGCACATTCAGGCCCAGATTCCATTTCCAGGGGAAGGCGTTTAATTGGCGAATCCGTGAAGCATCCGATCTCAGCCCGGAGGCAGCCCCTCGTCACATGCAAAAGCCACAGAGCCCCTCAGACCTCCAAGGCCCCCGCACGCCCCCGCCCCACCCCCCCAGCCCTGCACTGAACAGTCCTGGGGCCACGCCGGTGTCCCCACGGGAGTCGTACCTAGCGTCCTGGGCACCACTGACTGCAGCGGGTTCTCTGTGAAAACAAAATCGACCACTTTGAGGACAGGAGGAATTCTTCAGGGGACTGCCTGGCGTCTGGGAGCTCACACTCCAGCTCCGGTTTGGCCATGGCGTGAACGTGTCCCGACTGCCACCGAGTTGGTCTCCAGAGGCTCCGTGTGACCTCTCTCACACGGCCTGGTGTAAGGCCGTCCCTGGTGATGCCACCAGGGGTCCCAGATGAACCGGGTTGCCTGACCTTGGGCTTTCAGCTTCCCTAACTGTGAGCTAAATAAACCTCTTTTCTCTATAAAGGAACAGCCTCGGGTGTTCCATTATAGTAACATAAAATATGCCAGTGTGCACAGCCTGCGCTTGACCTCTTCTCACTGGCTGGCAGGGAAATAAGAGAAAAGACTCCCTTCTGGGCTGCCCCTGGAATATCAAACCTGACGCGACTGCCCCGCCCATGCAGCAGCCTACTGGTTTTAATGGATGACACGGTACATGCTTCGTGTTCTTTTGGACTCAGGGTCATAGGAGAAAAGCGCATGAAAGGGAAAAAGTTTTTTTATAGAAGAAACGGTAAGCTGTTTCTGACGATGCTGGGACACATCTACTCGGATGAGTGGTGCCGGTGAATCTGAACACCCACCGCAGGATGGGGCAGGGGTGGGCTGCCAGCACCCCGCGGTGGCAGATCAGAGACATCACTGAGCAGCCTAAGACACAAGGACACCCCAGCACCACCCGTGACCTGGTTCCCAGGGTCGGCATGCGGAGGTCAGGAGTTCCTGGGACCCCACTGCACCTCCTAGCCCTACAGGATAGGCATGATTACAATCGGCCTTCCGCATTCGTGGATCCCACATCCATGGATTCCACCCACTGGGGGTCAGAAATACTGGAGGAAAGAGATCACATCTGTGTTGAATAGACACAGTCCTTTCCTTGTGCTTCTACCCTGCACGGTGTAGCAGAACAGCTGTTCACAGGCCCCTTCCTGGGTATTAGAAGCGGAGAGGCGAGCTGCTCTGTGGGAAACTGTAGAAGACGCAGGCACCACGTCCCGTGTCAGGACTAGAGCACACTCTTGTGCTGGCGCCCTCGAGGGTCCGGGAGCCATCCTCCACCTATACTGAGAGAGACCACTATAATTTCCATTTTACAGACAAGGAAACTGAGGCATGGAGAAGCGAAAATAACCTGCTCAAGGCAGGGCATAGAAAAGCAGGTGACCCAGGCAGCGAGCTTTCAAAATTCCCACTACCAAGGGGTGTGCATGGGATAAAGGAACCCACCTAACCTGTACCCACAATGGTCCACTCCCACCTTCAGCCCAAATCAGGCAGAAAATTCAGAAGGAAAAACTAGGACACAGGCATGTGCTCCCTGTCTTAAGTGTCGTCTCTTGCACGATGGCCTTAAAGCTTAGGTAGGAAACTCAACCTCTTTACATAGGAGAAGTCTCCAGGTTTTGATCATGCTGTGGAAGGTTCTAGAAGGGTGAGAAGACACTTGCAGGGGGAGAGACAAGGAGAGAGAGAGAACGGAAATTGAAACTTAAGAGACTGGGAGATAAGGCAAGGCTGAGGTGGGGGCAGGCATTCGCAGAATGTATCCTCACACAGCTCCTCTCTGAACTGACTCAGATGGAAGAACATGAGAGGTGAGGACCATAATGCAAATGTCGGCTTCCAGAAGTTTCCCCCCTCTGAGCAACACTTTCTGCTTGCTGCAAAAGCTCCCAGTGGAACTGCAGGACACCCTGCTCCACCCGGGAGGGGCTCGGCCCAGGCTCTGCCCGCCCACCCCACCATGCCCAGGGGCTCCCTGCACACGTGGTCCTGACCTCGGCACGAAGACCACGTTGTGCAGGTAGTCCTCGAAGGTCTTCCTGAATGAGGACTCCTCCAGCTCCTTCAGGATCTGAGAGTCAGTTTTGGGGCAGGAGCAGCACTCGCCCGACGCCTCCTCGTATTCGCTCCTGTTATGTTTCTGGGCGTCCTCAGACTCGAACGGGGGCGACCAGGCCCGGGAGGGCAGCTTGAGCCCTAAGGAGAAAGAACAGGGGTTCTAGTCTCCCCGTAATGCAAGGGGCTGGGCACAGGGGCAGCACCGGGGATCAACTTCCACTCCCGGCTGAAGTCCACTTTTTATCCTCTCATCTAGAAAGAATGGCTGCAATCAAGAGTTCAATAACAGATCCTGACAAGGCTGTGGGGAAAGAGGAGCCCTTCCTTCTTCATTGTTGGTGGAAGTGTTAATTGGTACAGCCAATATGGAAATCAGTATGGAGAATCCTCAGAAAGCTAAACCCTCAAAGCAGTCTATTGATGTTTGTGCCCTTCAGCACATGAATCGATAAAGAAAATGTGGTGCTTACACACCGTGGAGCACTACTCTGCCATGAAGGAGGATGAACTAGACTCATCTGCAGGAAACTGGGTCATCTCGAGACTAGAACACCAAATGGAGTAAACCAGGCACACAAGCTTAGATAGTTGCTCTTAAACGAAAAATAAAATCATGACAGGGACACCTGAGGGGCCTCGCATGCCTGGAGCCCTATGCTATTTGTTCTTAGTGAGATCGCTGTTAATTGCATGGACCCTCGCTCAGACAGTCACACATAAAACCAGCTTTTAACAGCCACAATCACTGGGAAAAATCAGTGTGCAGACTCCTCAGAAAGCTGTCTTTGGAGGTCCCATTCAACCCAGCTAATCCCCTTCCGGATATTTTTCCAGAAGAACTGAAAACAGCAGGCCACAGCAATGTATGGGCACCCACGTTTCCAGGGGCACAATTTGCCATGGCTGAATCTTGGAAGCAACCCCAATGCCCATCGATGAGGAACAGATTAAAAGACGCAGCTTTGTTTGGTTGTTTATTTGTTTGCGGTACCAGGGATTGAACTCTCAGGACCCTGGGCTTGTCAGGCAACGCTTATCCTACTGAGCTACTTCCCTGGCCCAATGTAGCACATTACACAATGGAATATTACTCAGCTATAAAGAAAGATAGATTTGAGTCTTTATAGGTTGGTGGTTGCAGCTCGAGACCATACCTGTAAGTGAACTAAATCAGATCCACGTGTGCAAACATATTGTCTCCTTAGCACAAGAAACTGAAGGAGTGACTAAAATCCGAAAGGTACAACAAACAGATACCGTGAAAGGGAATGAAAGTGCTTAAAGACAAGAAACAACTGGGGTGACAGAGGAGAAAACTATATGTAGATGCGCAGCTTTGCTGGGCTAACTGCACTGCTGACTTCTGCTGGTCTACTGGAAGGAACAATGAACGCTTCCAATTTTTTCTTCATTTTAATTTCTTGATCACTTTTGCATGTTTATACCTGGTAATCTGAACAACTAACTTGATATTGCAACAATACGCAGTATCACAACCGCCGTTGAATTCTTGTCATTTTGCTTAGTGAAATTCTGCATCTTTTCTAAGTTTTTTGACTATTGTTTATTCTCTTTTTAAAAAATAAAATAAATAGAACACACATAGAGAAAAAAAAAAAAGACAGCTGCATGGTCACCTCTGGTGAACACTGGCAGGAGAAAAACTGTTGCTATTCAAAAACAAAAAGAAACATGGGGCAGCTCTGCCGGCAGCGTCTTGGCCCTCGCTCGCAGCGGCTCTGAGTCCTAGCAGCAGGCCCGAGAGCGGGATGGCATGCGTGGCCGGGCTGGGAGTTATATAAAGCCCCAAGAGACAAATCACGTCAGAAGCCCGGCTCCACGGCAGGGATGGCGTCATAGGCACACATATAGCACATGATCTTAGCGCTGGGCCCCGGCCCAGAGATCATCTGTCGCAGCCCTGCTCCCAAAAAGGAGGCAGACAGAGGGGCACAGCAGGGAATTTTCAGCAGCCTCTCGGCCTAGCCAACCCGGGGGATGAAAAGGGAGAGGCCCGTGGCCACACCTCTGCGGCGACACCCCTTCCCCTCCCAGGTCAGGACTGAGGGTGCACTCGCTGAAAGTGGCTCAAGAAATTCCGCAGGCCAGCAGCCGAGAAAGAAAAAGACCGGCAAGGACACAGGGACACGGGCCTTTTGCAATCGAAGGGCACCAGGAGAAGGAAGAAGGGAGAGAGGGGCAAAGCTCCCGGCAAGGAAGGCGGCCCATGCACTGCTAGGGTTAGAACCGCAGAGAGCACACGGAGCCCCAGAGAAGCAATGGCTTCTGCAACAGGGAAGGCACAACTGGGGTGAGGGAAGGAGGAAGGAAAAGCGACACAGACCATACACACAGGGCAGCTGGGACAGCTGTACTGCTGCTCTCTGCTGGTCTGCTGGAGCAGCGAACGCTTCTATTTTTTCCTTCTTTTCAATTTGTTTTTGTTTGGGTTTTTTTTTACCAGTTTTGCATGCCTATATGTGGAAAGCTGAGCAACTAATTTAAAGGCAACAATAGGCAATGCAACAGCCCTTGTTAAATTCCTGTCATTTTGCTTAGCGAAATTCTATACCATTTCTAATGGTTGGCTTGTTTGTTTCTATTTTTTTAATCCTCTTTGAAAGTTTTTAATTAAAAAGTATAAAACTGGGCTGGGGAGATAGCTCAGAATAAGCGCTTGCCTGACAAGTGCAGGGTCCTCAGTTCAATCCCCGGTACCACTAATAATAATAATAATACTAAACATAAATAAAAAGTATAAAACCTTTAGCTTCTCTAGCTTGACTTCATTTTGGTTTGATTTTTTTTTTCTTTTTGTCTTTTTGAAACACGGTCTCGCTATGCAGCTCAAGCTAACCTAGAGCTCACTCTGTAGCCCAGGTTGGCCTCAAACTTGCAGCAATCCTCCTGCCTCAGCCTCCCAGATGCTGGAATTCCAGGCGAGCACCACCATGCCTGGCTTTGGTGGTATTTTTCTCTTAGCTCTTTTTCCAAAAATCACTCTGTTGGCAGCACATAACGTCTGCGTGCCTGCGTGGAGCTGGGGCGCACGTGACACACCTTCATTGCTACCGCACCCTCTCCGCTCCCTGTCCTCCCCCCTACCTCTCTGTCCTTCCCCCACTAAGAAAGTGCCATCCCCAAGTTGCCCATTAACCTTTTTATTTTTTTTTTAATTTTACGCTTTTTTTAAGCTTTCATACAAGAGAAACCAGTAGTTTGAGGCTTTAAACATTTTTCCCATTTTCCTTCAATTGCATGAAAGGCCCCTGAAGTGAAAAATAGACTAAAACTATGATCATTAACATAGATTTTCAACTTTCTAAAAGCGTAAGAGCAGGCAGAAGGCAGGATCATTGCCTACTGTCTCACACCGAAAAAATCCTGGGTCTCAGCCAGGTGTCCTGGCACACACCTGTCGTCCTGGCACTCCGGGAGGCTGAGGCAGGAGGATCACAAGTGCAAGCCCAGGCAACTTAGTGATTTTGCAAAACCTCATCTCAAGATTGAAAAATAAAAATAAAGAAAAGGCTGGAGATGTGTAGGTCAGAGCAAAGACTCTGGGTTCAATCCACAGGATTAAAAACAACAGCGGAAAACTGGCCAGATAGCTCAGCTGATAAAAGTGCCTGCTTAGGCAGATGCAGGGGCTGAGGGTTCAATCCCTGGCCTGTCATGCTGGCCCTGCCCCAAGGGTTTGCTGAGATAGTGATTGAGACTGCATATGTGGTGGTGCCTGCCTGTAATCCCAGCACTTGGGAAGCCGAAAACAAGAGGATCACTGCCAGTCCGTTCTGTGTAGTGAGACCCTGGACTAAGTACTTGGAAAAAAAATAAATAAATGAAAACAACAGCAGCAAAATAAGATCTCAGCCAAGAGCAGTGACACAAGTTTACAATGCCAGCTTTTCAAGAGGCTGAGGCAAGAGGATTAGAAACTTGAGGTCAGCCTGAACAACTTACTGAGTCACTGTCTCAAAATGAAGTTTAAAAAAAAAAAGAAAGCCAGGCGTGGGGGTTGAACTCACGGCAGAGCATTCGCTTAGCATGCATGAGGCCCTGGGTTCCACCTCTAGCACCGGAAAGCACAAACAAAACAGCAAAGCAAACTAGAGGGTCTGGGAGAGGCCAAAGTTCTTCTCCAGCTTTGCCAATAACCTCGCACGTGCTTGGCTGTGTTCGCAGCTTTACACACACACAGTCTCATGTGGGCTACTGAGCTACATCCTCTTCAGTGCAGGAGGAGAACATTCCAGAGGGAAATGGCAGCAAGCCACGAGGAATCTAGTCACACACCACCTGCTGCTGGGGATGCTGAGAAACTTAAGTATTGCGGGATTCACCCTTGTGGCGCCAGCACAGACGATATTCACACTCTGAAGGCCACAGCACTACTGATGCCTGGCTCCCCGTAGACTGACACATCTGTCATGTGTCCATGACTGTATCTGGTTTTTTTGTCTGTTCCTTTGTGCACTATCAGGGATCGAACTTGGGACCTTGCACTTGTCAGGCAGGCACTTAGTGCACCTGGTTTTAACAGCAGCGCTCAGGACGCGTGGCTGCATACAATGTTGGAGGACACGGTAACGCGTGCCTGTCATCCCAACACTCTGGGAAGCTGAGGCAGGAGGATCTCAAATTGGAGCTCAGTTGGGGCAACTCAGCGACCTGGTGAGACTCTTTCAAAATGAAAAATAAAAAAAGGGCTGGGGACGCAGCATTAGGGATGAAAAATCAGCTTCCGTGTTTTTCGTGAGAGGTAGCAGCACACGCATCAGGCAGATGTTGTGGTGAAAGTCCCCAACAGCAGGGCAAACGGGGCTCAAGGTCATTGCGGTGGCCTCTACTCTTGTTTTTTTTTAATGTATTTGTACAGGGTCTCACTATGCAACTCAGACTCGTAGACTCGTAGTGATCCTCCTGTTTTCAGCCTCCCCAGCACTGGCATTACAGGCATGCGCCACCGTGCCAGTCTTGGTGGTCAGCTCAACGTGCCTGGAGTAGGGGCTGGTGCAGCATGCGGTGCCAGGGACCGAGCCCCAGTCCCTGTGATTGCCTCAGCAGGCCCTCAGTTGGCTGCGCTATCTCACTGGCTCGGCTCCACTCACCTTTGAGGCAATAATCCAGCTCATACAGCTCACTATCTTCCTCCTGCCTCTGCCAATAGACCAGGTAGTGCGTGATGTTGCCGTTGGGGTCCGAGGGAGGTTTCCACTTCAAGATGATCTGCGATGAGGAGTTAGACACGGAGAGGGGGTCCAGGGGGACAGACGGGTCTGCGGAGGACAAAGGAAACAAGGCCCAAGGGACCCAAGCTGGGGGTGCTGTCCACGGGGTCATTGCACATCGCACAGAACCGGGGGTGTGGGCTGTGCCCCATGGGTCCAGACGGACCACAAGACAGGTGCCCATTCGCTCTGGGTGAAATGATGCCTCCCTTGGAAAGGGAGCGACACAGCCTCCTTCCCTGGGTCGCACTGCGCCAGGTGCAACCCAGTCCCCAAACACTGTGCTGGTATCCAATACCATGTTGCTGAGCTGGTGTCCACACCCACAAAATGCACCACACGTGGGCTCCATGAGGCTCCACCTAGCAGAGCAGGCTGGGGACTGCAAAGCCAAGAGCTGTGGCCGACACAGCGAGCCACTTCTCCAGGTCTGGCCTCTGCCCCCGTGGCCCACTGACATCAAGGGCTGCAGGGATCTTTGTCAATGGAAGAAAGGCCACCCACCCTGCGCTGCTGGTCCCTGCATCCCAGGTCCCCACTCACTATGTCTCCAGACGTTGCCAAACGTCTCCTGGTGGAGCAGAATTGTCCTTCCTGGAACTACTGCTGCCGCAGAAGGGCTTAGCATTTGCTGATAAGGCAGCTCAGTTGCTAAGTTGCTACGGGACCCCCCAGCCCTGCACCCACCCCCAAGAATGGGATGGAAGAAAGAAGAGCGGAGAGAAAGCAAGCATGGGAAAGGGGGGAGGGGCAGCGCCGCATGAGTTGTTCTTCTTTCTACTTTCAAGTGTTGGACAAATTTTCCTAATGGAATGAAAAAGTGTACAAGAGTCCACATAGTCAGCCACAGGATACAGGCTGCGCCACCCTGGGTGGCTGACACTGCATGCCACCCTAGGCTCCGTAGACGCTGGGATTTTCCTGTGCACACAGTCCTACAGTACAACCCCTCTTATAAATTAGGCACCATAAGAATTTTTTGCCTGTTTGTTTTGGTTTTTTGAGACAGGATCTCACTATGTAGTTCAGGCTGGCCTTGAACTCACTATGGAGCCCAGACTCCTGCCTCGGCCTCCTGGGGACGGGAATTCAGGCATCCACCACCACATGGGGTGTCCCTGGGTCCTTCAGGTGCCAGTAACCACACAGAGGAGTGTGTGTCACTGTGTACCTTGGTGCCACCTATCAGAGCCAGGACATTATAAGCAAACTCAGGTTCCCAAGAGATACATACTGGTGGCATTCGTAGTCACATAGATGATGTTGCTCTTGGCCCCGTAGGTCCGGCGTTCGTCGGAAAAAGTGACTAGTGTCTTGACAAAGATGGCGTACTGGGTAAAGGGCTTGAGCCCCCTCATCAGCCACCCGGGATGCGAGTGCAGCTTCGGGTCTGCGGTCCTTGTTGGCGGGTCAATGTCCACCACCGTCCAGCTGTTGGAGCCACACGCATCCTGCCCGTCGAACTCGGTCACATTCTTGTAAGGGCTTGGGGGACAGAAGGGACAGGGGGCTACCAAGAGGTGGCAGTTGCCCTGAGCACCACGGAGATGCAGCCAGGGAAAGTTATTTCCTATAGATTAACCTCGTGATTATCCAAGAATCTTACACCATAAGGGAAAAGGGCTAGGAGACAGCCACGGAGAAAGGAGCCGGCAATCCAGGCACCTCGGTCACCAGGTCCCCGGCTTACCACCGCTCAACCTGTACTATTCCAACCCCGCGGTGGCACAGCGCCGACAGGCATTCAGCAAGAGCCCAAAGTCAAATTTCGATTCTAATCTCCCCTGGGCTAGGAGCATGCACTGCGGCAGTGGTGAACGGACAGTGAGGCTGGAGAAGGTGCACAGAGGGCTGGCTCTGGGCAGCGCGTCTGTGACCACAGGGAACACCTCAAATGGTGGCCAGCACCTCAGGCGCTGTGGCTAGGACAGATTACAGGAGAGAACACGTGTGCACTCTCAGCCCAGCCCAGGAGACACAGACAGGTGAAAGTTGTATTACTATCGCCACTGGACTACCTTCCTCAGAAGCCCGGCTGGCTACAGTGTGTGCACACCCGTAGTATCAGCTGCTCAGGAGGCTGAGGCAGGAGCACACTGCAAGTTCAAACTCAGCCTGTCTCAAACTACTTTTTTTTTTAATTTGGTGCAGGGTCCTGCTACACAACTGGGACTCACAGTGATCCTCCTGTCTCAGCCTCCCCAGCGCTGGGATTATAGGTGTGCACCACCACGTCCGGTTTTGGTGGCTAACACAGCACACCCAGTGTTCTGGGAACAGCACAGCAAGTGGTACTCGGGATCTTACCCGGGTCCTTGCGCTTTCCAGACAGGCGCTTAGACCACCAAGCTACCTCCTCGGGCCCCTGCTATGATTGTATTTCAATGGGAAGATCCCAGGTTCAATTGTTAGTACGGGGGGAGGGGGAATCTTCCAGCACAAGGCAGGTGTGGCAGGACACAACGGCAAAGGCAGTGCTCAGGAAGCTGGGGCAGAAGGGTCTCCAGGAATTCAAAGTCAGCCTAGGTTACACGGTGAATTCAAGGGCAGCCTAGAGGTCAGAGGGAGGCCCTATCTGTGTTCCAGAGCATGTGAATATTCCGGGGTTGAGTGGAGCCGGCTATACAGTGCTGCGGATGTACCTCATGCCTCTGTGAGCCCGGGCACCCTTAGAAAGGGTGACGACCGCCAGGCATGGCTGGTAGCTTGAGGCAGAGGCGGAAGGATTGCCTGAGCCCAGGAGTTCAAGGCCAGACTAGCTGGCACAACAAATAGATTTTAAAATAAATAAATAAATTTTAAAATAAAATTTAAGACAGCCTCCAAGAGGAAAACTAAGAATTTCGATTTCTTTTCGCAGAAGGTATTATTGTTGACATCATACACCATCAGGCATTGATGAGAAGTAGGAACCAAAGCTGTTTATCCCCCCAGAGGGAGCAGGCGGAGCCAGTCTGGGGGCGACCTGAGCACCCACCCCAGCCCCCATACTTTGCCCCTCTCTGCTTACGCCTCCTTGTAGAAAAGCATGAATCCGAGAAGGTCCCTGAAGTCAGGTGGCCAATAGGGCTCCCACCGCAGTATGATCTTGTCGAAAGATGTCCGAACGCTAGAAAACCTAAGTAATTCATTTTCGCCTAGAAAATAAAATTAAAAAAAAAAATTAAATATTCAAGCTCCCACAGTATGGAACACTACATTTCTACGGCAAGCAATTTATCCTACTTTTCCTGGAGATGCTATGCAGAGAAAGAGGGGACCCACCGTGCCTTGAATGGGTCTGTCCCCATGAGGGATGGATGGACAGACGGACAGACAGGTAGACGGGAAGGAAAGACAGACAGATGGAAAGAAAAACAGATGGACAGAAAGACAGATGGGAACACAAAACAAACGGACAGAAGGACAGACCCTGCCTGTCACCACTGAGGACAGATTTTCAGGATCAGGCCTGTCCACATACAACGTGGGCTTGCACGCCCTGGCTGGCAGGTGTAGCGTGTGAGCGCCCCAGTGGCGTTAGCCAAACTTCGGGCTGTCAGACTTCACAGAGCCACGGCCTCCAATGGACGCAAGCTCCCTCCTGCTCTCCACCCCAGCCCGACACCACCCTCTGCCTTAGGAGCAAACAGTCCATGAGGGCAGCTGTGCCCGCAGCCTCTGCCTAGCCTGTGCTCAAGGGGTCCCGGGCCTCCCTGCATAATGAGGGACCCTGAACGTCCCCTGGCAGAAACCCACGGGGAAGGAGCCATCCCTCCCACAGACGTGACAACCCCAGAGGCTGGGTCCCAGGGAACACCACTCACAGGATGCCTGGTCCCCGTTGGTCTTCAGGGCGATGTCGTTCCTCTCCTGGCGCCCCTTGGTCCCCGAGGCCTCTTCCATCTTGTGAATCTCTGACAGGCAGAGCTTGGGGTTATAGTGGAAGAAGAGCTTGCCCCGAGTGATGGTGAGGTTGTGTTTGTCCCAGTCCCACAGCTGCCTCAGGTTCTGGTTGTCCAGTGCGTAGAATGAGTAGTTCCTGCATAAACCCACATGACGCCTGTCAGCCCTGGCCCTTCGGGGGAGTCGGCCCCGTCGCCACCATGTAGGATCACAAGCCTCATGCTTGCTGGGCTGAACACGGTAAGCACATGCTTGGGGGTGAGCCGGGAGGAGCACCCGGCAGGGCCAGGAGGGGGATCCTTTTGCAGACCCGGGAGGGGCGGCCCTCTGCAGGACCAGCAGGCCTCAGAGCTCAGTCTTGGGGGTGGAGGGGAAACAGGTCTAAAAGGATTCACTCAGCAGGAGAGCTGCAGTGGGTCAGCCTAGAGAGCTGGGTATCAGAACAAGGCAAAGAACAGGGGGACCCTCTTCCTCAGCAGAAGCAGGGCCAGGGGAATCCTTGAAGGGTTTCTGTTTTAGTCTTTTACTTTTATTCAAACACTTGTTTTTTCTTTTTATTTTATTTTATTTACTTTTATGAATTTAGGACAGAGTCTATAGGGCCTAGAGGGTCTCACTACATAGATCCTACTGGTAGTGATCCTCCTTGTGTTAGTTGATACATTGTGTCAACTTGGCTGAATCAACCCGGCAGTTCTCCGCATGGGGACTGAGCCCCACAGGTGGGCAGGGCCCAGGAATTGAGAAAGGCAGGAAGCCTGCCGCCCTGCCCCGCTTCCGTGGAGAAGTCTGAGTCTTCGGAGGAGCTTGATCTCGGCAGCCACGCCACTTTGGAGGAGCTTGGAACTTCACTGTGGAGCGCTGGTCTTCGCAGTCAGCGCAGAAGAAAGAGAGAGGCTTGATGGACGCCGCCGCAGCTGCTGCTCCTCCTCTGCTCTTCAGTGTTTTCTGCCGCATGAACTGCTGTTGTTTGCCTTGGAGCCAGCAGAATATGGACTGAACCCTCCAGTAACTGTGAGCTAAATAAACCTTTCCTTCCTTCATTTTGAGTGTCGGGTATTTGTCCCAGCAACGAGTAAAAAGTAACTAAGATACTCCTGTTTTCAGCCTCCCAAGAGCTGGGATTACAGGCATGCGCCACCACGCCCAACCTCATTCGCAGCAGGCCAGCACAGCACACTGAGGATCTGGCCACTCAGCTCTGCCAAAGCAGGCGCTTTAGTCCACTGAGGTATTTAACCGGCCCTCTCAAACACTTATTTTTTCTAGTTTTTTTTCTTCTTGTTGTTTTTTATACAGGGTCTCGATACATACCTTGGACTCTTAGTGACAGCCTGTCTCAGCCTCCCCACTACTGGGATTGCAGGCATATGCCACTACACCCAGTTCTACACCCAGCACAGTGCACCCAGGGTTCTGAAACCAGCACAGCATGGGGTACTGGCAACCAAGCTTGGACCTTGTGCTTGCCAGGCAGGTGCTTCGGCTGCTGAGCTATCTCCCCAGGCCTTTTTTTTTTTTTTTTTTTTTTTTTTTTGTCTTTTTGAGACAAGGTCTCACTACGCAGCTAAGGCAGGTTATGAGCTCACTCTGTAGCCCAGCGTGGTCTCAAACTTGCCACAATCCTCCTGCCTCAGCCTCCCGAATGCTGAGGTTACACACATGCGCCTCCACACACAACTTGTTCAAACCCTTCTGCGGCACACTGTGATTCCACTCGTCATGGGGAGTCGATCTGCATATACACCTTGATGCTCTTTATTCCTCCACCCGCCTTCTGCCCCCTCCATCTCTTCAATCCCCTCCCATTTGCAAAGGATCTACTTCCTGTTTCTTACTGTGTATCTTATTCCATTCCTTGATGGTTTACATCTTGGGTTTCTCAGATAAGAGCACCCATGTGGTATTTTGTCTTGCGCTTGCCTACTGAGCTATCTCCCTGGCCACCTATGTGGTATTTAAGCTTGTGGGTCTGATTTATTTCACTTCACATGATGGTCTCAAAGTGCAGCCCTTCTCCCATGAGTGACTCAAGTTTACCCTTCTTCACAGCAGAGTATTGCTCCACTGAGTATAAATACAACATTTTCTTTAAGCATTCATCTGTTCATGGACATACAGGCCTCATTCAAGACTTAGTTGTTACGCTGGAGAGACAGCTCAGCTGCCCAAGCACTCGCCTACTGGGAGCCACACAAGCTATGAAATAGATCTAATGTGTATAGGCGAGATTAGGTCTCAGTGCCTAAAGCAAACAAGCTACCTCAGTCCTGAGATAAACACACTGTCTGGTTAAGGTCAGTTATTAGTCGCTAGGCAACCTTGTGTCACACGTTACTAACTTTGCAAAAGTATAACTAAAGGTAGGTTTCATTGTTCGTTTGTATTAGTCTTGCCCATCAGGCAGACCAGTGACCACCCAGCCCAGCTTTTGTCTTCTTGGCTATCTTTTCTCATTCCTGCCACTATTTCTCCCAGGACAGAATCAATCGCAGTGAGACCAACAGATCCCTACACCTGCCTGGCAAGCGCAAGGACCCAGGTTCGATCCCTGGTACTGCATGCATGGCTGGGCCACTGAAACCAGCATGGTGATGCATGCTTATAATCCCAGCGCTGGAGAGGCTGAGACAGGAGCGTCACTACGAGTCTGAGCTCATATCAAGACCCTGTACCAAATAAATAAATAAAAAGATTTCACTATTATGAATCATGCTACTGTCAACACAGGTGTGCATGGATCACTGTGACAAAAGGCCTTTAACTCTTCTGTAAGCTACCTAAGAGGGGAAGAGCTGGGTCAGGTGCACCTCCCGGTTTCAGTTTCTGAGGGGCCCTCACCCTGGTCTCCACACTGGCTGCACCGGGTTACACTCCCACCAACAGTGGAGAAGGCTTTCTTTTTGCCCACAGCCTCACCGACATTTGTTAGAACTTGAGTTCTTCACGATGGCATCATTCTTCCCGGGGAAGAAGGGTTGCTTTTATACCATGTCGCTGACTCCATTAGATCTGTGACCCACAACAGCCACCAGTAAGCCAGCAGGAGATAAACAGGAAAAGGAGAGGTCTAGACCCGCACTGCCACACACACACAGGCCTTATCCACCCGGCACACAACCGCTGAGTGCCCGAAATGGGTCCACTGCAAGTTACTGCAGGAGGAACCCATGATTTCACAGACATAGCCAAAAGAGAAGGGAACCTGGATAATCTTTTAAAAATGAATACCATGTTGCAATAACATTTCAGATCTCACGGGCCAGGTAAGCTGGGTAAGTACATTTAATCTCACCTGCTTCTGTGAAGGTTCTCAAAATGTGACTCCCATGACATTTAAAGTCCATGTGTGGCCTGCAGTCTAAATCTTTTGGACAACATTGGTCTAGTTCCAGAAAGCCCAGAGAGGAAACAACGGGGCGATCCAAACAGAAAGCCTGAACTGTATCAAAAAGGACAGCCTCGTGGCAGAAAAAACGACACGAGCTGGCGCGGGAGTCCAGAAAGTGGCGTAGACATCAGTGGTGGCTTGCACACTCGCTTGCTGCCATCCTCTTTTCCTGCCTGTCCTGAGATGGGACTGGAGAGAGGGCTGCCATCCTGGCACCACGAGTAGCACAAGGAGTTAAGGAATCCGACGGGTTTCCTGGACATCCTGGCCTGTGAGTCAATCTTGAAGTTTCAAAGCACCATTAGCCTGGATGTTTTAGTACTGAAACAGGGTCACCTGAACCCCAAGGAGAGCACACAGGCTGGGGCCAGGAGCCCCAGAAATGGGCATGGCTTGGGCCAGAGAGGAGACTCCTTTCATCTGAAGCACCTGGAGGTTACCTGGGCCAGCTAGGAAACAGGCTAGGGGCAAGAAGGGAAGCCAGGGTGGAGGCCCTTACAGGCAGGAGGAGCCGGCTGCTGCCCCTAACTAGAAGAGATTCTCGTATTTTGTGCTTGGGACCTTCTACAAGTCCCAAGACAAACTCTTTCCTCTGGGGACTTTGGCTGGCACTGTTATGGAATAGATGTATTTTTCTTCTTTTTGGTTTTCAGATCAAAAGCAAAAAAAAACCTTAAGTGTATCCAATTCACAACCTTCCCAGTCAGTATCTGAGCCACCAACACAGAACCAGGCAACACCTACCCCATTTCCAAGATCTCCCCTCGAATCAAGCGTAACTTCCGGAAGAAGGAGAGGGACACCAGTGCGTAGGACCGGCGGATTTTTAGATAGCCTGAAATCTCTTCAATGAGGCCCAGGTTGGCCTCCAGCTCTGCTGCCAGGTTGTCTGTGGAAAAGAGGAGACCATTCTGAGGATTCACAGAAACAGTCTAATCTTCCCGCAGGGTCTCATGGTGGGAGTCGCCAGCCTGTTTCCTGCTTGTTACAAAACGCAGATTTATGATCTCCCAACTCCCAGCTTGAAAAGTGAGAGATCTCAGTGTGAGAACGAGTCTCACTAAGTCATCGTGTTGTCTGGTGAGTGTGAGCTTGATCCTGCGGTCCTCCCATCCCCGCTCCAGCTGGAGGACAGGCACACGCCACCTCTCCCCCGCTCCAGGCTGGCAGGGAACACAAGCCCGCAGCCACCCCACCCGGAGCACTCACTGCCTCCCCGGATGTTGATGACGAGGCTCCCATTGATCACAGTGCAACCGCGGAGCTCCTGGGCCGAGGTGACAGAGTCAATGGTCTTCTCGACTTCCAGGTGACAGACCTTGGGGCAGGGGCCCAGGCATGGGGTACACATCAAGCTGCAGATACAGCAGGGAGAGACTGGTTAGGGCACACGCAGGGCGTCCCCCAGAGTGGGCCCATCACCCACACATGCCAGCACCCCTACCAGCGTTGTTCTGAGACCACACCAGTCCTCCCAGGAGTGCTGGGCATCCTGGGTAGCGCCTGGCCCCCCGCTGCCAGCAGCAGCCCCTCCCCTGCTTGTGACTATTGCCGGACACTGTTGCTGGACATCGCAAACGTCCCTGGCCAGAGAGGGCAGCAAATGGCACCCAGATTAAAAAAAAACACTGCGGGAAGACAGGATTGGAATTCAGTCATTTCTCCCCCAACGACAAATCCTACAGGGTTCCCCTGGAGTCAGGGACACAAGGTTTTATCCAAACAGGACACCCCCCTCTCCCTACGGCAGTCGAGCGGGATAGGCCTCCTGGCACCGAGGCAATGGAATCTAACTGCATCCTCTGAAGCCAGGCCCACATTCTAGTCCCGAAGGGCCCTGAAGCCACAGACTGAGGCAGTCAGTGGTGGTGGGCATCAGGACGTGGCTAGTGGCTGCTACTATTCCAATACAGCAGAACGGAGCTCACCATCCCAGGGCACAGGCCTCCACTGTTGCGTGTCTGCTGTGACCCTCCAGGCTTGGTAGCAGGTGACTTAGGCAGCCTTAGCTCTGTTTGCAGCTTAACACCCTCAGATTCACAAGCCCAGGAGTCCTTAACAAACCAGCGCCCCCCCCCATTGTCTCCATGTATCTTGGTGCTTGGCAGGCCACGCCTTGCTAGATCCAGGCAGGGCACAGGACCCCCTCTGGGAGGACCACCATCACCCACCCCTGCAGGTGGCACAGACGCCATTGCACAGTGCCAGCCAGTCCAGTGAGGGGCTCCCTGACCTCCTGGGAAGAGAAATCTCTCCCAGAGGCTCTGAGAGGACACTGCCAGTTTGCTAGCCTGGCACCACCAGCGAAGCAGAAGCTACCGGAGGACAGAGGCAGCAGAGTTCAACAGGCAAAACACAGGAAGAGGCCAGCCCTGTGCGTCACATGAGCTCCCAGTGGCAGCTACACCTGAAGCGGGTTGCTGACTTCTTGGGCACCAGTAAACACCTTTCACCTTGCTTACAAAGCCACAAGATTCCCACCTGTTGTGTTCTCAAAGTCCCGGACCCTTCGTGAGACACACAGAGATGTCAACACGGCCACATGAGGGCAGATGATATATGATAGAAACCTCACAAAGTGCTCAGCATGTGAAGAACCACAAAATAAATAAATAAATAAAATACTTTTTAACAGACCCTTAAGCTCTTGCTTTGACTTTGGTTTTATTTCTTTGAGTTTATTTTTTGGGTCGGTTGGTTAGTTTGGGTTTTGGGCAACTGGGTCTCCCATGTAGCCCAGGCTGGCCTTGAACTCACAGAGATGTTCCTGGGATGACAGGCGCGCACCAGTCACCGTGCCTGGCTCTGAGGATCACTTCTGGTCAGCAGCACCACCCCCCACCCCACCCCCATGGGCTCCACATTCTGCATTTGACTCCTCAGGAGTACCTGGGGTTTGTGGCATGATAAAGCCTGCCTGCCCCTTTCATGCCTGTGTGATTCAGACCTGGGAGCTCCACATGGTGGGTTCAACCAACCAAAGACCACACAGCACCAGGACTGGCCACTCACCGTCTTTCCCAGTCATTATTCCCCACCCAGGCACAAAATCCCCCGCATTTCCAGAGCAGTAGGTATCACCAGTAGTATGGGGGTGAAATCCGGCAGGAGTGCAGTCATACACAAATACCGGTTGTTTATCCCTAATTTAAAAGTCTAAAATCTGGACTGGGGAAGAGAGCTCAGCAGTCCAAGCACCTGCCAGCAAACTCGAAGACCCATGTTTGATCCCTGGTACCCCATGCCAGAACTTACTTATTATGTTTGTGTAAATATTCTAGAGTCTGAGGAAAAGAAATCCCAAATCTAAAATTTTCTCCTGCTAAGCATTTTGTTTGAAAAAGGGGCCCCTCAATCTGTACTACACTCTTCTCTTACTACTGTTTTGTGAACAACTGGTAGCAGTCCTCTTGTCTCAGCCTCCCAAGTGCCCGGCAGACAAGCACACACCACCATGCCCAGCTGCCTACGCTATTTTATTCAAGGATCCTAAGCACACACAGCGTCTGGTATTTGAGAGGTTCCCCACAGAGGCCAAGAGCGGGCTGTGCATCTCGTAGTCACCCTGGTTTCTGGTTCAGAGCTCCAAACACTCGGAACGTCCTGAGGTGGAGATGACCTCCGGCTGGGCCCCAAGTGATGTGGCCACAGTTACCAGGGGATCAAATGACTGGGGCTTGCAGCCGCCGGAGGGAGCTGGAGATGCAATCGGCCACACCACCGGTTTGTTGTTGTTGTTGTTGTTGTTGTTGTTGTTTCTTTTTTTAATTTCTACAGGGTCTCACTACTTAAATGGACTCCTGTGTTTAGCCTCCCAAGATTACAGGTGTGCACCACCACGCCCAGTCTCAATCTCCGTCTCAGCGCGCCCCAGGGGTGGGGCTGGCACGGCGCACTGGGATCGAACCCTGGCCACTGTGGTCTGCCTAAGCAGGTGCTTTAGCCTGCTGAGCTATCTGGCCGGTGCAGCCACATGACCTTTGATGCAATCAATTGAGCCCACAGAGTGAGACCCCAACAAAAGCCTGAGACACAGAAGCTGGGGGGAGCCCCTGGGTAGGGAATCACACAGCTAGGCTTTGATTACACTGGGAGAGGGCACAGCCTCCATGTGTTTAACTCTCCCAAACTTTACCTTCTGGTTGCCTTTTAATGAAACTCCAATTATGCGCAGCTATCTTTTAGAACTAAGTGGCCCCAAAAGACTCATTGTGCACCGGTGGTTGGCTTACGAGGGGAACTAGTGATCAGTGGACTCAGCTGCGTGTGCCGCAGGGAGGGGGCCCTGGTACAGGTGGCCACTGGAGGTGTGGCCCGCAACTATGCATTCTGGTCTTTGGCTCCTCTCTTCTGTGCCTACTCCCAGGCTCTGGGATGTAAGCAGCCTTCCTCCGCCAGGCCCCGCCCCACCAGGCCACTTCAGGAAGTGCAAGCAGCTGACCATGGGCTGAGCCTGTGCAAACCATGATCCAAAATAAATCCCTCCTCCTTCAACCCGCAGGTACCCAGTGTTTGGTCTCCATGGTGGGAAAGCTGACCAGTACATTTCTAATAAATGATCCAACTCAAAGGCCTGCAGTGCGCTGTGCCTTCCCCTTGGGAAGTCTGCAGACAGCCCCACATGGCTGAGGTCAGGATTATGCTGCAGCAGCCCAGATGGTGTCAGAACAGCTGTGCTGGAAGGAGAAGTGGCCAGATGTTGGGGTCCTTAGAGCAGCTCCACACCTCTGTGACACCAGCAAGCTCTCAAAGCTCGGAGTTAGCAGCGCACGGCCCCAGCCCAGACCCAACAGACCCTAGTCATGGTGAAGAACAGCACTGGACCGCTGTGGGTCGGCCCCCGCCTAGGTCTGCTCTTCACGACCGAGTTGTCCGGGCTGAGCCAGTGCCAGGGCGACCACACAGCTCTGGAAGCTGCTCTGGCCCTTCCTTCCCCAACCCGCGTTCCGTGCTGCAGGTCCCCATGGGTGAAAAGCACATGTCATCCGTGCTATGACTGCAATACAGGCACAGGGTCTTGGAAGTCTCTTCCCAGCCGCTCCCACGGGGAGCAGCTAGGGCCCCGCCTGCTGAGTCCGAGGCCCGCTGGGACTCCTGGGGTATTTACGAGCAGGAAGAATCTAGCACGTAGAAGCTTGAACAGCACTCAGACGGGGGCTCAGACGTCTTGGATCTGGGGTGGGAAACCTCATGACAGCAGCCGCCGACCTAAGCCACCAGAGGTCTCTCTAGCCAGCCCGGCCATGGCTGTACCAGCCTGGGCCCGAAAAGAGAACGAAGTCACAGACCTCCAAACTGCGCCGTGTTGTAAGCAGTTGTGCACTAGTGAGACTTGTTACGCACAAAGCACTAACTGATACAGCCCCAGAGCTCACGACCTGGGGGAACAAATAAAGTGGCGCTCGCGATATTGGCTGATGGTAAAGGCAGTGAAGAGAGCTAACGCGGAGGATGCGCCGAAGCACCAAACTGGCAAAGGCGGAGGATGAGCCCTTGGGGGCACGGCAAGTGTGGGCGGGGCGGATGAAATGACTTTGAGTCCAGGACGAGAGACGAGGCACCTGCCCTGCACATCCGGGGGGCTTCCTGTGATCACACAGGTGGTTTTTCAAAGCCTCCTACAGCCAGTATGTCTAGGATGGAAAAAGAAAGATAAGCCAAGTGCCAGCCCACTGAGCCAGGCTTGTGGGGGGACTTGACATTGGGGGGAACTGGGGAGAGATAGAGGGGGCCACAGAAAGGCCAGGGAAAGCCAGGGATGGTAGTTTACGCCTGTAATCCCCACACTCAGGAGACTGGGGCTGGAGAAATGTTGTGAGTTCAGGACCAGCCTGGGCTACAAAGTGCGCTCCAGGCCAGCCTGAACCACATAGCAAGACCCTGCCTCAAAAAGGAAGGAAGGAAGGAAGGAAGGAAGGAAGGAAGGAAGGAAGGAAGGAAGGAAGGAAGGAGAAAAAGGCAAAGATTTTCAATGCCCACTTTCTAACAGGTACCCCACACCCATAGAAGGCTCAAATATCTGGGCCACCTTATGTGGCCAGGGCACCCACAGATCCCACCAGGGACCTTCAGGTGGCCACACACAGTGCCAACATCTTCGTGCATTTGTATGGGTTCCCAGAAATCTGCCATCCAGAGCTCCAACCCTCATAAGCCACACAGAATGGGCAAGATATGCATCCCTTTCTAACTGACCTTTGCTACCTTCCATAAAGGTTTTGGAAGTAAACATACGTTAATTTTTTTCTTTTCTTTTTTTTCTTTTTTTTGGCGGAACCAAGGATTGAACTCAGGCCCTTGTGCTTGCCAGGGAAGCGCTTATTCCACTGAGCCATCTCCCTGGCCCAATTTTTTTCAACTTATAAAATAAAATATCTGTATTGCTTTCTATTCAGGAAAGACTCCTACCATGAAGAAGTCTCTCTTTCTCTCCCTCCCTTACTCCCTCTCTCTTCCCAGTCTTGCTATATAGTTCAGGCTGGCCTGAACTCACTATGCAGCCTGGACTGGCCTCGAACTTAGGGCGATCCATCTGCCTCAGCTTCCCAAATGCTGGGGATTACAGGCATGTACCACCACTCCCAACTCACAAAGGATGTATTTCTTAGGAAGTTTATCTGAACACACCATAGACACAAATACCAAAGAAAATTGCTATATTTCTTAGGCCTTAACTATGGAAGGGGAAAAGCCTTTTATTAAAAGCCAGTGTCTTTCAAATACACATCTCCTCTTTCTCAAATGGGGGGAAGCAGTCAAAAGCAAGCCAGTCACGTTCCAAATCGTACCCCTAAACTGCCCCTTCCCCCCAGAAGTGGCCCTATGAAGCATCAAGGTGACTGATGGTGAACTATTTTTGGTCAACAAAGCCATTTGATGTTTTTGATTTGTTTTGTTTTCTAAATCAAAAAATGTTTTGTTTCCTAATTTTAAAACAAAGCATATTGTACTTTCAGGTTCCATAAATACCCCCCAAAAGGTCCTAAGAACTAAAACAATTTGCTTTTCTTCCCACCCTCTCTCCACCTGGGCAAATACAATGCCCCAGCAGAGCGCTCTCCTTTGGCCAAGTCTCAAGTCTGAGCCGGGCCGCTCAAGGCCTCCCAGCGTGCGTCTGTTTCCGATTTATTTTTGTATTTTGTGATGCTGAGTGTTGCTTTTTTTTTTTTTTTTAACCCTCCACACATTAAAAAAATAATAATAATCAAGAAACATATTTGCTTAACCTCAGTTATAGCCCCAGATGCTGAAAGAACTTCTCTCAGATGCTAACAAAACATCTGGACATGTAAGAAATTTGCTCCCCAGCCAAGGGGAGAAAGTGCTGCCACTTCTCACCCAAACCGTACACATGGCTTGCTGGCTCAGTACTCAAGCAAGAGCAAAGCTCCAGGGAAAAGCGCAGGCGTGACTCTCCCCTTCTTTGAGATATTCCTTCTTGGGGTGACTTTGGAAGAGGCAGAGGATCCCCAGCTACATTCTACTTCTTTCTTTCTTTTGCTTTTTTTTTTTTTTTTTTTTTTTTAACACCACATGGCCTCAGTATGTAGCCCAGGCTGGCCTCGAACTCCTAGCAACCCTCCTGCCTCAGCCCCAAGTGCTGGCATTACAGCGTGTGCCACCAAATGTAACAGTGTGACGGCATCACAATGTGGTAACAAGGTAACACCGTAGCAGCCTGGTGATGTACCAATAAGGAGCGCGATCAATCGGGGAAGGGGTAGGGCTTCCGTTCTGCAGCAGTGCCCAGCGAGCTTAGATATGGAATAAAAGACACTGCACGTGCTTACTATCTGATTCTTTTGAGGAAACAAAACTGTTCACTCCTGTGTCTAAGCTCAGGACCAAAACCAGGGTCAAAAATAGCACCTCTAGGGACACCCAGGCCTGTCATCAGTCAGCCCATGCTGTCAGCGACAGTGACCTCGTTCACAGCCAATTAACTCGGGCTCTGCACACAGTATTTATTTATCCATTTGCAGCCGTGGAGCGGAGCCCAGGCCTCACACATGCTCACCCAACGCCCTGGTGGCGAGCTATACCCAAGCCCCTTCTGTTTTATTTGAAGAGACAAGAGTTGCCTAATGTACCCTCAAACTCATGGTCCTCCTGCCTCAGCCTCCCAAGCAGCGGGGTCACAGGCGGGCACCCCCGCAGCCAGCATGCACAGGTTTACTGGGTAAATCACCACCACCGGTTTTAACCACCGTGCGCAGCCATCCCCGTCGGCTCTGTCCCTGTTCCCTCCCTCTCAGATGCCCCCCTCCCCAGAACCATGCCCACGACTTACTTGCTGGAATTCATTGTGTACCCAGAGGGACACTCGGGGATGCACCTGTTGTTGTGAATGACGTACTGGTGGCAGCCCTGCCTGCGTGAGTTCTTGCATTTATTGTGCAGGTCTAGGCAGAAGCTGAAGTTCACGCAGCGCCAGTCCTGGAAGTGGTAGTAGGGAGGCGGGCAGGTGGCCACACACCTGCCATCCAGGTAGAAGTTGCGACAGGCCACGCACTTGGTGGGGTCGTCGGGCTCGGAGCAGTCGCCCAGGCACTCGCTGTGACAGCAGAGGCCTTCAGTGGTGCAGCCGTGGGACTTGCAGGCGGTCGGGCAGACTAGAGAGGGAAAGACAACAAGCCAGTCAGGGGCTTTGCCCAATTTCTGTCCACACGCGCAGCAAGCCTAGGTTCAGGAATGGAAGCCAAGCAAAACAATAACAGTGACAGCCACACTTCCACGGCTCTTGCCACGAGCCACACACATCACTAACAGACGCCCCCCCAAGCCAGTGCTGACCTGGTGAATGCCAAGCCAGCCCCCACAGAGGGGCATGGAGGCGCTCACTTGGGGCCTGTGCCAATCTCCATGGTGATTTCGGGCTGCTCAGGGCAAGCCCAGGAGCAGAGGTGGCAAACAGACACACAGTAGCACACTGTAAAGTGGTCTGTTCACTAGCAGATAGGATCTATATCGACCAGTGCTACAGCACAGCGAGGAACCTGAAGAGCACAAACACCGGAAACAGGCAGGAGGAGGGAACCCTACAGGACTCCAGCTACACTAGAGGCTGGTGGTTTGAGGGCAGCAGGGGCAAATCTCCAAATAGCTTAGAGGCATAAGCATCCACCTGCCAAGCTCAAGGTCCCGAGTTTGATCCCCAGCCCCACATGCAGGGCCGGCCCCAGAACCTGGTGTGGTGGCACAGCCCGGTAATCCCCACACTCGGGAGGTTGAGACAGGAGGATCACTGGGAGCTCGAGTCTAGCCTGGGGGCCTCAAAAGTAAGCACAAAGCCAGCCCAGATTGCACAGCAACTGTATTTAGAAAAATACAATTTAGAAAAAAGTGCGAGGGGAGGCACTCAAGGTGGAGCTTCCCCAGCATCTGGCTCCGTCCCTAGCACTGCAAAAAAAGATCCGGATCCAGGAGACGGTCCACTGATGACAGCAGAGCCTGCGCGCAGACTTGCCGCTGAAGGGGCCTTCCTGGCCACTGAACCTATCCATGTGGACTCCAGCACCGCCCACCAGCTCACACACACCCCCTCTGCCCCGCCACTGCCCGGCGCTTCCTGATGACCTCTCCCTGGCAGAGCCTTGGCATCTGTCAGTCCTGTGCACCCCACCTCATCTTCCTCGCCAGGCTTTTGGTAAATTCCCACGTGGGCAGACAGCCTGGAAGCAGTGAGACCACCCCCCGCCAAAGGCTTGGCCCACCTCACAAGTGCTTCCTTCCCACGCTCCCTGTAGAGTACGAAGCGGCATTTGGAACCCAGGAGTTATTCACTCAGAATCTCCAGGTCCACTCCAGGCGTGGCAACACGTGCTTAGGATCCCAGCACTCTGGGAGGCTGAGGCAAGAGGATCCCAAGCCTGAGCCCAGCCTGGGCAGCTTAGTAACCCAGCAAGACCTTGCTTCAAATGTTTAAAAGGGGGATGGGGTAGGGCAAGAGGTATGCCTTACAGGCCCAGTGTCCAATCCATGGTACTACAAGAAAAAAAAAGGTCCCCAGGAGCTATGGCTGATTACCACAGCAAGACTTCACGGCGGGGCTGGTGAGATGGCTCAGTGGTCTAAAGCACCTACTTAAAACCAGGTTTGGTAAAGCACAGGGACCACAGTTCAATCCCCCAGCACCACATGCCAGCCAGCCCCGCCCCCTGGTGGGCTGAGCTGGCCACACACACACACAAATAAATAAACTTTAAAAAAAAAAAAAAAAAAAGACTTCACGGCACCCAGTAGATTCCACGGACTACACCCAAGGATCACAAGCAACCTTACGCCCAGGAGCACCATCCCACTGAACTTCCTGCATGAACAGAACCGTCCCTATCTGCACTGTCCAGTGCATGATGCCACTTCTCCCCGTGGTGGCTGAACTGTGGCTAGCGTGACTGAGAAACTGAACCTTTTTTGTAAATTGTGGTGAAATGCACACAGCATCCATCCGCTGTCTTTTTTTTTTTTTTTTTAATTTTTTTTTTATTTTTATTTATTTGAGAGAGAGAGAGAGAGAGAGAGAGAGAGAGAGAGAGAGAGTGGTGTGTGTGTGGCCAGCTCAGCCCACCAGGGGGCGGGGCTGGCTGGCATGTGGTGCTGGGGGATCGAACCGCGGTCCCTGATGCTTTGCCAAGCTTGTTCTAAGTAGGTGCTTTAGACCACTGAGCCATCTCTCCAGCCCCCCATCCGCTGTCTTGACAATTACGACGTCCACAGCTCTGGGGCGTTCTGTACACTCACACTGTGTGACCACTACTCCCATCTGCCTCCAGAAGCTGTCCCCCTCTTCCCAAACTCACACTCACTGTCCCTTCTGGCACTGCCAGCCACTTCCTGCCTCTGTGGTCTTCTGGTTGCTCCTGAGACCTCTCAAGAGACTGGCCCTCTGTCCTATTCCGACTGGCGCCTTGCTCTGTGCATTAGTCAGTCCTCCAGGCCCATCCATGGTGCAGCCTGTGCTGGAATTTCCTTCCTTTTTAAGGGCTGAGTTCTATTCCACTTCCAAGCTGACCCAGTTTTGGTTAACAATCCACCGGTGCCTGGACACTGAGGGCTGCTTCCACTTTGTGGCTACTGTGAATAACACCGCTGTGGCGTGGGTGTCCAAACACCTCTTTAAGTCCCTGCTTTCAGGTTTTCTATCTACGTACCCAGAAGTTGAGTTGTTCCATTGTACATCAATGAGTTGTTTTTCAGCACTGCAGATGGAACCCAGGGCTTCACCAAGGCCCAATATGCATCTACCAATGAGCTACAGCACCAGCCATAACTCTACTGATTTTCTGATAAACTGTACTTTCGTGCTGTCACCCACAGCAGCCGAGGTACCTTGCATTCTCACCAACGGTGCACGAAGGTTCCAGTTTCTCCTGAAGAATCAAGCTTCTGTTTCATCTTCATTCACTTTAATTTCAATATTATGGGACCACATAGGCTTAGAGAAAAACAGTAAGCTTCTTGCTGAAGCCCACAGGCCCCGGGGGGCCCAGTCGCTGTGGATGCCCATGTAACCCTCTCCCAGGCTCCTTCCTGCCCCTGCAACCCCAGGCTCAGCCCTGCCGCAGGGCCTTTGCCCAGCTGTTCCCAGTGCTACAGCACCCTACACAGTATCTCTTCACAGCTCCGCTCACCCTTCGGATTTCACCCAACACCTGACAAACCCCACTGCCCGCCTCCCCAGAGGAGGTCGCTGTTCCTTCTCCAACCATGTTGTGGCGCGTGATCTTCTTAAATTTTCCATATAGCACTTAACACTCTAGAAAAGTTGTCCTGTGTGCTTTTCCTTCATCTAGCAGGGAATCCCGAGGGGTGGAGCTTTTTGGACCTTCCCCACCACACCAGATCCAAAGAGCAGGTAAACAGGGACTCTGCAGGTGCTGACCCCGACAGCCGCAGGTCTGCCCCTGTTAGACAGTGGCCAGGAGTCCATCCAGGGACTCCCAGCTACGGGACCTCCACAGATCACCTGGACCCTGGAAAATGACACACCAATTCTTGGGTGTCCACATCAAGATACATTCTGGTTCTGTAAGTGCAGCTGAAGAGAATTAAGGAGCTCTGACTGGGAATACAGCTCAGCGGCGCAGCACCTGCCTGGCAAGCACAAAGCCCTAAGTTCGACTCCTGGCACCAGAGAAGAATTAAACAGCTCTACAGTAGGAGCAGGATGGGACAGAATGGGAGAAACCAACAATGTCCGTGAAAGGTTTTCAGGGTCCACGTGGTCCACACCAGATGCAGAGCTGATCTGAACAAGGACTCAGCAGGGAGAGGGGACCCAGCATTTATCATCCCTCATCCGCCCTTCCCATCCGATAGAATGGATTTGGGGCCAGGTGCACGCAGCATCAGAGATGGGTGTGGTGCCGAAGGCCTCTGATCCCAGCTCCTGGGCCAGGGGCTGAGGCCAGAGGACCGCAAGTTAAAGGCCAGCCTGGGCCACCTGGCAAGAGCCTGCTTCAAAATAAATTAATAGAGAGGCTGAGGGTCCAGTCCCACGCTCCTGGGGTTCAATTACTATGTGGTACTGGGAGGGTCTTTAAAAAAGAAATCCCAAGAAACAAACGGGGTAATGTGGCTACCAGACCTCCTGTTTAACAGACACATATTTTAGGCTTGCTATAAGTTAGCTACTGGCCCCACGATTATTACTGGTACTACTTTATATCACTACTAGCATTGTGATTATGATCCCAGTCTTCCCTTGGCATCGACGGGGCTAAATGCCAACAATATGTGCAGGCACCCGAATGAGCAGCTGTTCAAGTCCCTGTCAGGAAATGGTCACAGAATCTCTCAGATCTTCCCAGACAAGAACGCACCTCTGGGTGACTTAGCGCAGCTAGTGCTGTCCACGGGTTCAGTCAACAGCCGTTATGCCGCATTATTTAGGAAATGATGGCGAGGGCAAGTGGCCCGGTTCCGCACGGTTCCGCACAGACGCGTTTCCCCAGCTCCTGTAGGCGGAGCACACAGATACGACCCCTGAGAGCCGGCTGGGCGACCCCATCGATCCCACGATCCCACGGCAGGCAGCCAGCCAGCCAGGGCCCGCAGGGACCAGCCGGTGGGCGAGGCGCTTGCGAGGGCAGGAAGGGCGCGCGCGTTTCCCGGGCTGGGGTGGCAGCAGCACCTGCGAGGTGCCTTTCATTCATAAAAAGGCTCCAGCAAGCCACAGCTTTTTAAAAAAGAGAGAGAGAGAGAGAGAGAGAGAGAGAGAGAGAGAGAGAGAGAGAGAGAAAAGAAAGAAAGAAAGAGAAAAGCAGTACTAACTTCCCAGGCACCTACGCTTCCAGCCTAGACAATGAGACATTCTCCAACGCCTGCAAACTGAGCCAACTGCAAGCAATGCCAGTTTGACTCTGGGCCCTGCCTGACTGCACTCACAGGATCCCCCGGAAAGGGCCAAATGGCCAGGAGACCGGAGCCACGCGGTCCAGGGGTCCACCAAGCCGGGAGGCAAGAGGTATGTCATACATAGATCTAAAAAGGGACTAGCTGAGTGAAATGGAATTTTTAGGTCCTGCGATGGGTTTTGGTTTTGGGTTTTGGTGCCAGGAACCAAACTCAGGACCTCATGCTTGCCAGGCAGGTGCTGTGCCCCTGAGCTACA